CCTGGTATAGACTATAGCCAGTGGCGCCACTAGGGAGGTGTGGATGGTGAAGTCCGCACCAGGTGACACCACAAACACACACCTACTTGCTGCAAATGAGAATGAGGAGGGCCATGGCAGACACCCCACGCCTCTCCTTGCCTTGGCGCCATTTTCCTCATGAGAGGAGCAAGGCCTGGGCATTGAGAGGGGCCAGGAGCACACAAAACACGCCTCTCCTTGCCTTGGCGCCATTCTCCTCATGAGGAAAGCAGGGCCTTGGCAATTAGCGAGTCGCGATTTTCGTGGGTGGGTGTGTCCGGAACGGATTCCCCGCGAATTGGGAGGGGCAACTGTATATATGTCGCAAGCTTTCAAAACTCCATTGGTTTCTTCATCAGGTAAAAGTGTTAAAAATAATAAAAATAAAAGTTTAAAAGTATGCCGATGTTAGACACAGGCCCACATTTTGTCAAAATGTAGTTGGGGTGTTGTATGGTTTTTTTAAAAAAAACCTTTTCCTAATGAAGAAGCCAGTTCAGCTTGGAAAGCTTGCAACATGTATTTTATGCAATTTGGTTGGCCCAATAAAGATATCACTATTTTATGGATTTTGACTATTATTGTCCTTTGCTATATGGCCAACACAGCTATCCCTGAATATATACCCAACTAAGAGTTTCAAACAGCATCGTGAACCTAAAACCTGTCCTCCTCTCTTTATCACAGGATCCATCTACACTGTAGAAATAATGCTGCTGACACCACTTTAAGTGCTGCAGTGCCATCCTATTTGTAGTTTTGCAAGGTCTTTAGCCTTCTCTTCCAAAGAGTGCTGGTGCCTCACAAAACTACCAATCCCAGGATTGTGTAGGATGGAGCCATGGCTGTTAAAGGGGTGTCAAACTGCACTATTTATACATGTACCCAAAGCTTGGTACCAGTTGTTTTTCTGTTTTCATTTTTTTAAAAATAAGAAACCAAAGGGAAAGGGGATAATGTGTGTGTGTGGGTTTAGTCAAAGATGAAATTGGAATAGCTAAGCTGGAATCATCATCATCATCTTCATCATCTTCACCATCATCCCAGCCTCTCCCCAGGGATCAAGGCAGGAAACAACAACAGATCACACACACAACATCTGTCAAAAACATAACATACGTTTAAAAACACATAAAGAGCAAATGTATGTTTATTCCTCCGTCTCCAAAAATAAAATGTGAGAAAGGCAGTGGTGGATGGAGAGAACACTAAGGACTTTATGAGGCCACGGCAGAGGACACACACAGAGAGGACAAAATTACGCAGGATTTGTTTCCAGAACTGGGTTATTTCTGCAGTGCAGAGGCAACCATAAACAAACAGAGACAAACCAGACAGCAAGAGACGGGGTACAGCAAGCAAGGCAGGAGAAGAACAACACTTTCCTCTGTTTCTACCCCAGTATGAGTCCGTTGATCAATTTCATGACAGGAACAGGTCTAGTTGTCAGTGTCACTGTCTAGCAGTGGACTGTGACACTTGCAGCCCTGGTGTGCTTTAAGTCGTTGTTTGCCTTCAGGTTGCTGGTGTTTACCTTCGAGTCGTTTCCAATTTATGGCAACGCTAAGCCGAACCTATCTTGGAGTTTTCTTCACAAGAGTTGTTCAGAGGACGTTTGACATTGACTTCATTGGCCCCTCTTCATGGAAAATTCAACGGTGAGCATCATATTTTGAAGACCGGTCAGTTCATCCATGGACTGCTTGAACTGGAGGTGGATGTGCCAGCAATCCTGAAGTGGTTTTCATTGATATATTAAATGATGTCCTCCTGATATAAGGTCTTACACGCTTCAGTGAAGTATATGCTACAAATAAATAAGAGAGAGGTGCAAAAGAGAAAGAAATCAGGGGCTACATTCAGATGTGGAAGGGTTTTGACTAAACGATCAAAACATTTTATCAATTCTGTGAAGTTCTGCTCGTATACCAGGAATCTTGGCACCCTCCAAACATGCATATGAGGAAGTTCTCTCAAGTCTACGAAAGCTAATGCTACCAGCTTCTTTCTTTTTTGTTACTCTCAAAAGTGCTACAAGATCCCTTTTAATACAGATTTTCCCATCTAATAGGGCCATGTCTTCAAATGATGCAGGCTGACACCTCCTTTCAGTACTATACCTGTATGGAAACTTGTGACTTGTAGTTTCATACAGTCTTTCATCTTCTCTGCCCTTGGTGCTGCACAAAATGACAAATCCCAGGATTTTGAAGGACAGGGCCATGGCAGTTGAGGTAGGGTCAAGCTGAAATTTCTGCTTTTCTATTTTCATTCTTTAAATAAGAAACCAAAGAAGGGAAAAATGAAAGAGTGGGTTAAGCAGAAGATTAAATTGTAATGTAACCCTTCCACCCTCACCACTCCATCTATGTCCTTGCAAAGCTGTACATTCGGTGGAAGAGGATGACCATTCTAGATAGAAGGAGTATATCTTTCTTCTCTCAAGGGTTTACAATAGCTGCACTCTCCTACTAGAACAAGCTAAAGATTCATTTGTAGGAGAAACAAACTCAAGGTCCATTTGTAGGACAAGGTAAGGGTGGTCAATCTTCCAAGACTCCAGACATATCCAAGGAAGGCGCTGAATGAGGCAGTTTGCTTACATGCCAATACTCATTCATATGCTGATCTACTCTCCACAGCTTTAGGCAACAGCCTTCCTCCTACGTTTCTCCCCCAACCAACATAAAAATTGAACGTGTCACCTTATCTCCATACCCACATGTTTTTGAATTTTAATTGACATTCTCACACACAAACAGCTTATATGGGTCTGTCTGTTTTTGATTTCTCCACTCCAAACATGCATCTGAGAAAGTATGCTCAAGTCTAAGAAAGCTCACGCTACCAGCCTCTTTTTTATGTTAC